AGCCACCCTACTGACCTGTGCAGCTATCAAATTCCAAGTTTCTCACCAATGATACAATGATTTGTAATCTGTATAAAATGTTTACAAGTTCAATGTTAAATTTGAAAATTATATCAGAATATTAATGTGGAGTTTATATTGCTTTACTCAGCTGTGGTTATTTCTGTGATTCCAGTAGCTGTGATGGATGTCAGCCAAGCTCTGAGCCAGTAACCCTCCTCTCTGAGTATTAGTAGTCACCCAGGACAGGATGATTTACCTGGCTCACACAGCTCACTGGCAGTTCCTGGGACTGATTACCGGCTTCCTGGCGTGGATCCTCACTATGGCCACAGCCGGCCTTAACGAGTGGCGACTATGGTATGTGGCCAATGTGCCTGTCATCACCTCGGGCATGGCCTGGGTGGGTATCTGGAGGACATGTTTCTACAGCCACGCCTTTCCCGGTACAGAGAACTGTCATAGCATCAGCATCTCAGACACCTTTGTTCCTGTTGAGATCCCTGTAGCTCAGGTGCTGATGTTGCTGGCGATAATCTGTGGCTTAGCAGGGAACATCAGTGCAGCTGTGGCCATGAGGATGGTCTACTTCTCTCTGGAGGATCGCAGGAATATTAGGCTGGTGTTTGTGTTGGCAGGGAGCTTGTATTTGCTCACAGGGATCTTTTCCTTGGTGCCGTTGGTGTGGAACATGACTTCTGTGCTGAACAACAGCACCATAGACTTTCCTCCTGAGTTTTACCTCCCTGCAGCTCCTGTCAGACAGCAGGTTGGCTCAGCCATCGGAGTGGGAATGGTTGCCTCTATCCTGATGCTCATAAGTGGCCTCGTCTTCCTTTCTTACAGGTACACTTGGCATATCCTGACTTCAGAGGTCCCCCGACACACCAGGGACCCACTACACAGTCCCCGGCAAATAACTACACTGGCACAAAAGTTTGATTTGCCAAATGGAGACAGCCAGGGCAGAGATAATGCTGCATTCTACACTGAAGATGAAGGAAAACCCTAACCTCCCTCAGGAACAGTTTATTGATTAATCTTGGATTTCATCAAACATGGGCAAAAGACTTGGGAACTGGTAGAGAAGAAAATTCACATTTAAAGGCCAGAGCTGCTGAATCACCTATTCTGTTATTATACCATTTATATTGTAGCACTTATTACAAGAAACACTGATTAATACAGGATGTTTCATCAAAATTCAATATTATACATTCAGAAATTCATTGTCTGTGAACCATAATCTAAAAAAGGCAAATCAAACTACTACTACTACTACTAGAACAAAATTCATGTTTGAAGAATTACTGAGAATGTCACATTAAAGAACACTCCTGATCCATTACTACTATGCTAAATGTAGAGCACAAATGAGTCAAATAGGTTACCCTAGGAAAATATGTAGACATACACTATATTGCTAAAAGTATTCACGCGTCTGCCTTCGCATGCTAATGAACTTGATTAACAGCCGATGCTTAATCCATAGGGTTTAATATGATGTTGGCCCACCCTTTGCAGCTATAACAGCTTCAACTCTTCTGGGAAGGCTGTCCACAAGGTTTAGGAGTGTGTTAATGACAACTTTTGACCATTCTTCCAGAAGCGCATTTGTGAGGTCAGACACTGATGTTGGACGAGAAGGCCTGGATCACAGTCTCCACTCTAAATCATCCCAAAGGTGTTCTATCGGGTTGAGGTCAGGACTCTGTGTAGGCCAGTCAAGTTCTTCCACACCAAACTCACTCATCCATGTCTTTATGGACCTTGCTTTGTGCACTGGTGCACAGTCATGTTGGAACAGGAACGGGCCATCCCCAAACTGTTCCCACAAATTTGGGAGCATGAAATTGCCCAAAATGTCTTGGTATGCTGAGTTCCTTTCACTGGAACTAAGGGGCGAAGCCCACC